CATACTGTAGCGTCGTGCCATGCTCAAACCGCCGGATGTTAAACAAAGGGCGGAGTGATGACGCATGGGACTTTCCGTGGACGTAGCGGGCCCAGAGCGGCTTTGGGAAGGAGGCAATGGGCCGGCGGATACAGCCAAAAGGGCCTATATAAGGTCAGGAGAACAATGCCCAAGTCTTCTTGTGCTAGCGGCGTCGGCGATAGGTGAAGCGCGTCTGTGCGTGTTGGTGCATTAGGGCAAGGGACCTGTAATTCATTGTCGTGACTTGCGAGACGCGTAATAGTCTCAAAGTAAAGCGGCCTCATACAGGGAACATCGGTGGTATGTTGCGGTGTGGTAGCCGTTGTTAAATTATCTCTCCTTGTAGTGGGTCTATTTATTTAGTTTATTGTGAGCAGGGTAGTTGTTAAATTGAGACTACGGTCTAGATTGTGAATAAGTCTACTGCTTTACAAACCACTCTCGTCTGTGTTCGATTACACACGTATGACGCCACATATCCACATACGCCCATAGCCTTTTCGTAGCGGGATGGCGCAAGTGGCTAATGAAATTGATCGCTTTTCCATGCGTCACAACAGACATCGCCAGGCGGTGGCAGCCGCATGCTTTAAGTAGAGAAGATTGAATGTATGGGAGTAAATCTCACTTAGCCAATCATTTACTCCAGACAGGCCATACATTCAATCCACACACAGATATTCATGTACTGGAAATACAAAATCAATAGCACACCAGTTTAACTCTGGAAAACCTCCACATTCATTTAAATGACAACATAGTGAATGAATACAAACCATAGCCCCTCTCCTCTAAAATTATTATTACACACCACTCCTATATCGCACTCTTCTGGGGAGGCACAGAAGACAGCGCACCGCACCCAGGCCATTACCCTCCTCCACCCCACAGCCGGGTACTTAACCCCCGTGGCTCGCCTGAGCCTGTGTAGTCGTTTTGTGGCTTCCATACAGCAGGTAAGAAACGGCTTAACTTACATGTTCATGTTTCTGTTTCAAAATTTTTACATTTCAATTCAATTTCATTCACTTTCTTGTAATATTAAATGATTTAACATCCCAGTTTCTTTCTGTTCTTAACATGGTAATTATATTTTCTAAATTTTAAATCATTAGTAATCTATTTATTCTAATTTCTTTTTTGACTCACGTTTTAATGTTTGTTTGTTGTTGTTCCTCCCCTGGGGACACCGCCTTGAAGTAGCACTGCAGGCGGGGAAGCTTGTGTGCTTCAGTGAGGTGGAGGGCTA